TTTCTCGGGTTTCGGGCCTGCGTTAGTTCTCCAGGATTGACGTTAATAGATTGACATTTTGAAGATCGTCCGGATTCCACTCTCGGGTGTGGATCATGTGACCCAGGGTTACGCGGCAGGTGAGTCACTTCGCTTGACCTTCCGGATTGGAACATCCAAGAATAGAGTCATGTGGGGAGTTCGGGGAAGGGAAGTTTTCAAAGCGAGTTCCAATCGGAAAAGATCCCTCTTTCAAACTAGACTAGACAGGCTTTTAATATTCTTCGCATTATTGAGGCATAATCGGGATAGCGGGTTGTCCAGCAAAAAAAAAATTGGGTTCTTTTGTAATTATGTAAGTGACAAAAATGTCAAGAAGTAAAAAGTTATGTACATGGATTCATTTTGGTGTGTTCATTATGGTCATCAAGTCGTAATATCGTGTCGGTTGCAAAGGATGAGGAGATGAGGACAAAAAGTGGGCTGTCGAGATGTAGAAGAGTAAAGATGTAGGAGAGGAAGGTTTCAACCCGCGATTGGGGAAACCATGCAAGATCCCCCTGTCCATAGGTGTTTGGAGGTCGCCTCAAGACAATTACGACCCTTTTCCAAAAAACCATGTTCGGGGGAATTTTCAGGCGACGTTTTTGGTGTAGGGGTTGCAGGGGTTGTCGAAATAGCGACGGGCTCTGCTGTAATTGATATTTGTTCCGTGATTTTGACTGGAGTCTCGTTGGCTGCAACTCTGTTCCTGATGACAGGCAGTTCTATGTTGAACTCTTCCACATCGTCTTCCTCGTCGGTATCCTCGAAATCGAATGAGCTGATCCGAGACTTCATGTCATTCTCGGTCCAGGAGACGGAACCACAGTGCAGGCGAAAGTGTGCCACGCAGCGGCGAAGATCAGGGTCTGGTGCGGTGGCTTCACGGGCAAGCTTCTCTTTCGACAGGTGCGTGAGTTTGTAAGGAAGGGCGTTTCGGTTTGCCATAGGGGGCCAGCGTTTATTTTGAACCATTGGCACAGAGGCAGTTGGTTTCGGAGTCTTGGGAGCTCTTTGTGTGGTGCCGGTATTCATGTTGTTTTCAATGGTGATCATCAACTGATGGGTGTTTTTTTTGGGAGAAGATGAGGATCCTGAGATGAATGAAGATGTTTAAATATGTGTTGAAATGGTTCTGAAAGGGGGGAGGGGAGATCCAAAGGGAGAGGGTAATAGTAAGGAGGGAATCGGTAGCGAGTCTTATACCTTCGAAAAATAATGGGGAACCTGGTCCAAGCGCCCTTCCTAGTCAGGGCTGCCGTGTCACCAGATCACGAAACCGGTTCCAGGCCTCTGATGGGTCATTTTCGGTTTTTTTTTTTTTTTTTTTCCTCTGCTTTCTTTTTCCCTCTTTGATGACTTGTCTATTACATTTTTAAAACCCTTCTACCCCAGAAACTTAGTCGAAACTTAGTCGAAACTTAGTCGATGTTTCTTCAAAACTAAGTCTGATTTGGTCATTGTTGTCCAAAAGGGGGTTTTAAATAAATCACAGGGAGAAAAAAGGGATTTCCGGTGTACGTAGCGGCTATTCGGACCCTCCAAAGTGGGTGGCCCCAGTTTTCTTGATCATTTGATACTTCAAAAATTTTTCGGTGGAGACCCTTCTGCGGAGCTTATCTTGCTTATTCGCCCTAATCCCAGGAAAAACGAGAGCGAAAAAAAAAACAAAACGTTGCACGGGGAAACTCACGATCCCCACGGATTACCTGCCTTGGACATCCGAACCTCATCTTTCGACGTTTGCGGCTTTCAGGCTATAGAATTAAACCCCCCCCCTTGTCTGGAAATTTTGTTCCTCTTTCTCCTCTAATTTTAAAATAGATGAAATCATCTCTCGAAGCACTGATTCCTCGAAAAACATCATCCAATTGTTGGAATCGGCAAGCCCTAACGGGGCCCTAACCTTGGAACTCTGGGTAAAACGCTGCATTCAGTTCTTCCGTTACCGACCCAAGAGATTCCACGGCATTCTATTTATAAATAGTGCCCCGAGCACCCATCTTTCTTATTTCGTGAGCATAATGTACCTAGTGTGCTGGACAAAGCAGAAAATCCGCACACCGACAAGTCCAAGCATCCCACTAGTGTCCACGCTCAGGAGTATGCCCCTCCTGACGATCGTTGGAATCCAAAGATGGCTCCCTAATCGTCTGGTCATAATACCCGCAACGGAGGTGCTATTCCAGACCCCCGCTCTAAACCTACACCAGCTCTTTCCGTGGACACCAACCAAAGACTAGGAAACCAAAAAGTGGCTCCCCAAGATGGAGGGCATTTACTTCGTACCCGCCCATGAGTTTATCCTAAGAGAATCTAAACAATGGAAAATTATCCTGTCGATACCTCCATTTTACTACGGCCCCGCCCTGTACAAAACAGGAAGCCAAGAAGAACAAAAAACTCGATAATTCCCTGCAATTTTTTCAACCCTGATAGAAACCAAACATGAAATAAACAAAACATGAAATAAACAATAGAAGAGCACAATAAACTTGCAGATTAGGATGCAACGCCGTTGATGGCGAGTGGAACAAGAAAGGGAAAGATGTGGCCAGATCTGCTCTGCTGCAGACGACCCCACTAATTCGCAACAGGTTTGGAGCTATTGCAGCCACCAAGCCCAAAATCGAAGTCTAGAATCTCTTCCAAAGGGCTGGACACTTGGAAATGCTTGGAAAGCAGGTTCTTAACCCGCAAGCACACGTTGGTGGGGTCCACAATTATTCTAGCGCCAGCGCCTCGAACTAGCTCGCATGCTTTTACAACGTGAAGTACGGAGCACACACCAAACCAGACATTCGGATGACCGCCGAATTATGACTTGAATTTACGGTCGCAGCTATGCTATAGAGGTTTTAATCTCTGTAGATCATATTATGTTGTATGTGTAAAGCAGAACATTTCTATCGGACGACATCCGCCAAAAGCGAAATTTCGGTCTGGAACCAGAGTACATATCATCACTCACGTCAATCGGTACTTCGAACTCCACACACGATCCGATGCGCGGTTTACCGCAGACTTGCACCGTTACTCATTAAAAAAATCCAAAGCGGGCTAGACCGGCCATGCCACTGGTCCAGTCAATGAGATGAGCAGTCTGTTAAACACCTCGTCGGTGTTGTCCCCGCTTTCCTGCAGAGTTTTGAAACTCGGTACAGAGTAGAGTTGGCAGCGGTTATGATCAGCTTGATGGCATGATATCCAGATCCTGCACCTTCGCGCTCGGCTCACAGCGTTACTGCATTCTGGCCCCTTGCTCCCAACTGACATTCCACAATATCCAGTCATTTTGCTCTGTGCTGATGTACGTGGACAGCAGCTCCGGCGGCTCTGCTTGGGGGCCCAGTCTTCTGCGGGATATCTGCACTCCTGCTCATCACTGTAACAGCCGCCCTCCCAGTTCTCAAGCCGAAATTTTTGTTGGGTTTCCGATCATTGCGCCAACCAGGGCATTATTTCGGACATTATTATACTAACAACTCACAATGGTATTGTCGATGTAGCATCTCAAGATAGACTTTTTTACCCTACCCGTGGTTCCGATCCGGCCCGGCTGTTCTACCGCCATCTCTTCCGCCTTTTTAGGGGGATCGATCTACAGCTTCTTGCGTGGCATATTGACATGGCTCTTTGGGAAGGTGCAGGTCTCTCTACCTTTGTCTCTCTCTATCCCGGTGCCTGTTCGGGCGTCTTGGATAAGCTTGATTAGTAGATCTTTTTCTAGGATGGCCTGGGTGACTGAACAACTCAACTCATCCTTCAATTCCAGTATTTGATTTTGTTCCTTCTCAAACCATTATCCTTGGACCGTGGGAAAAGATCTCCCAGACCAGGACTCAGGGCTTGAATTAACCACGGTTGTCTAATCCACTGGATGTGTGTTCTTTCTAATGCTTTCGGGCAACTATATTCGATGCATTCCTGCTCGCAACACAAACTAAACTATACATAGTATAATGCAAAGATAGTCGTCAATGGTTAGTCCGAAATAAAAAACTATTTCTCAAATGAATCTTTGGTCCGCTTTTTATTCTGCCGTGCATCTATAAAACTGGCAAGGGAGACACGATATCTATAGAAAGACTTTTTAAGGGACTACCAAAAAAGACATCACAAAGCCGTACTTGCAGCCGATTGCTTTTGTTATGTATATGGCAGATCCCAAAAAATGACATCTACGACTTGTACACAAGCCCCTACCCAACCAATCGTGTAACATATCCCTTAAATGCTGGTTTCTCGACTTGAGACTACTGCACCACGCCGAATAGGTCACAAGTTATCTACGCCCGGGCATCTCCGGCTGCTGCTGTTGCTGCAGCCCAAAACAGATAACAAACACGATCCAAGCTAATGTATGCACGCGATCGGAGGTTGAGAACTTGCTCATCAATATCCTAAGATGGTCTTTTCTCCGGGTATCTGGCACACGGCTGCAACTAAGCCAGTTGCTGGGCTTGCTAAAAATGTATCCACCATGCAGCAGAATCAGGCTCTCGGACGATAAATACCATTCTAAGCGCCGTTGGTGTATATTTCCGTCACATAGTAGTAGATCAGAACTCAGCCCCAACCAACTCAATAAGTGCAGCCTCTCGGAGTTACATAGTAGTACCTCCAGTCTTCATTGTTACATTCAAGCGCTACCGAAGCAACTTTCCTGATTTTCGAGATTTAGATCAGGTCCATACTAAATTTTAGATCTGCGTGCCATATTTTACAGTATGATTCAAGCGCTGCTGTGTACCCCCTAAGTACAACTGTCCTTGTCTGTTCCAGTCCCATCCATAGCCGCGAGTCAAACCAGTCATACAGATAAACAAGCACGCTGTTCCCAGTTTCGCTAAAAAAGTCTGTCAGCTGGGATAGATTTAAAGCTAGGATCTTACCGCTTCAGATGCGGATCTGTACAACGCGTGGCCCCGCCGCGCAATTCTCAAGGCAACCTCAAGCATGCTCATTATAAAAGAGGAAATAGTGGCTCCTAATTTATGCCTTGCTTGTGACGCGTCAAGACATATGCAGCTTACACGTGCATTTGACATTAGTGTATGCTCGTCTTTTCTATGCAGGTCATAACTGGTAGTTCCTGTAACTACCACTATCAGGAGGAAGATGGGATAGGCTTGGATGTAAGATGTATGTGCCTCCGATGAGTCGGAGGCAATAAGCTGCATCTAGAAATCCATGCACAGGGCCCCAAAAAGCATGGTAGTAGCTACTCTCTGGAGTCTTTTCTAATCTAAATTAGAGTTGGAACCATGTCTCCCCTTCGATATGAATATTGAAGGCGAATTTAGCTCTAATAAGACATTAACAAGGAGGGATTCTAAACTCTCTCCTGGTGATGGAATCAAAAAGGCAAATGAGCTGGAAATGCAATTGGACATGTCGAATCTGACATTTTAATACGTTGTAGTGATGACGAGTAACTTTCACCTCAGCTTGCATCTGTGTTAAGTCAGCTGGTCCCGGAGGGAGCCAATATGGGTAGGTCTCCAGAAATGCAGGGATAAAGTGGATGTGGGGGGGTTGCTGCATATATCACCAACGATAGAGCTTGGATGTGACCAGGAGGTGACAGTATGGCCTTTATTTTGCTGAGCGAAGCGAAGCAAATATACTAAACATTCAATTTCTTCATTACTAGGTCTAAAACCCCGCCTTTCAGATTTGAGATCAGGCCTCTGATTAGTGGCAGAATTTATCTATCACGTGACTTGAAGTGGAAGTAGACCCAATAGAAGATTGGGTAGCAGGGCCAATAGCGTTCCGAGTTACAGGTAAGATGGTCAAGTCCGATAGGCCAAGGCAGATTACCAAGGTATCCATAGGAATAGGTCTCTCGGGGGTCTCTAGGCGCTTTGTATGATAGAGATGGATGATATTACCGGAGAGACATACCCAACATCCGAGAGCAGGATTAGCCCAATTTGTCCATCGTAGTGCTTTAGGAAAGTCCACAGCCACCTGGAAAACAGAATAGGGATCGGCACGGGGCTCATCTAGCATCGTGGTCACGAAAGCACGAATACGTATAAAGAATATCC